AACCTGACATCACACTGAAATGTCACAACATCGACACTGGAACATGACATCACACTGAAATATCACAATATTGACATTGAAACATGACATTATGCCTTATTGTCATGGACACTTAAGAGGCCAAATAAGTTGGCCAAAGAAACCTAAAACCCACTTAATCGTTGACGCTTGAGTATATGTTGTGAATATGATTATTCTTTTAGTAATACTCTACTTCTGCAATCACCCTGCATACCTTTCAGTATCCATGATCAGTGTTCTCCTCAGAAATATTTTGATGCGCTATGGCATCTATTTTTTAACCCTTCTATCATAGAGCGGCGCTGCGAAACATTTCCGCGTCGCAACCCATCAATCGTGCACGAAGCCACTTTGAGAAAGCAAACTCTTAACAAGAGTAAAACTAGAATTATGTCAGTGTGACATTAAAGCCGCTAACCACTTTAAATTGAATTGCTTCAGTAACACGTTGAGCATCAATATCTACTATAATACCTCAGATATGTGTTCTGTATTCTGCTAATTGAAAATCAGGTCATGTGATGATGTTGCCTTTGGAATTTCCAAAATCAATCACCTCTTAAATGATGCCTTAAAAACATTCTCCCCTCCTCTTTTTTCACCCTCTTTAAGTGTGACGCATTGTTGTAATTTTCATTAGTTAGGATCCTCCGATGATGTGACATAAGCATTTACGTGCATAATGGCAATCGGTGAATGGATAATAAAGAATAGGTGCATTTTGTGCTTGTGAAATGAAGGATAATAAACAGTAGTGGGAAAACATGCATGGAGAAAAGAGACATAGTACTCCTTTTATTTTTATTTATTTTTTATTCATATTAATAATAATTATTATGGAAGGAGTGACTATTATTTTACTGTCATTGAATATACAAAATCTCACAAATGTTCTTGGAATATATTTGAATTATATTTCTCAATGCGACTTTACCAACGTAAGAGTTATTTCCCTTACACCAGATTGGATAATATTTTGACACGGCGCGAATTCTTGTCAAACAGCAGCGGCAGTTGTGTCAATAAACATGTTCTTAAATTGTTACATTTTTCATAAATAAATACACCAGAAAAAGCATGCTGTGTTACAGGAATGTTTGATAAGCATACAAGGTTCACATATCGTCTCGTTTCAGAGCCATTACCGTTATTAACCTAAGCACGATATGTACGTCATATTACGTTCCCACTGATTACAGCGCTCCTCATCCATGTTTCAAAAAACATTGCATCACAGATTACGTAACATTATTTAGGTTATCAAAACAACATGGCCGCCACATGCAGTCTGCTCACTTACGATCTATCTTACTGTAGCCAACTTTATTTCAAGTTTTCTAAAAGTTGTATCGACAGTCTTTTGTTGATAAACGCTTCTCACATAGCTTACTTATTTCAAGCATTAACATTTGATGGCCGTATAAACAACATACAGCAAAGGTAGGTCAGCAGACGTTTGATATTTTACTGAAAGCTACTGTCTGAACTTCCGTGTTTGTATTATTTCCGTGTTTGTATTTCTTATTTTGGTTGTCAGTCACCAATGAAAATTAAAATGTAGATTGAAGCCTTGATAATTAACAGACATCATTAATTATAATTAGACGAATTACACGCTGGTAATTGTGGTCTATTGTTCACGTTTCACACATATACGTAGTTCACATCCCCACAGGTAAATCTACCCGCAGGGCAGAGATCGTTGATAAGGGTGTCAATCGTAGAGAACAATAAAAAGCTAACCTAATGAGGGTGAGTCTAAATGAAAAGGGGAAAGAGGTTAGGCCTATCATGATTTGGGAGAAATTGTCAGTTGATGTGTAACTGTCAAATGTATGCATATATGCGTAACAGTAAAATGGTGAGGCGTAGCGGCTCAAAATCCAAACGTAACGGTACCGTTACACTACAACAGCCTGGGGAGAACATTGATGATCAAAGCCAAGCGCCCCACTGATCATCCCATATCCCTACAACTGATGTTGTCTCCATCATCTTTATCTTTAAACCCAAAAGTCACAACACACTGGAGGTATATACATAAACAAAGTATAATCATACCATCACAGGTTACATTTGATTCCTGCATGGCAGCCATTCTGGGGTAATTCCATACCGGTCGATGCATTTGGTATATTGGATCCTAGCTAGATCAAATGCATCTGAATTTGGAAAGATTTTGACATTACACTGAAATATCACAACATGGACCCTGGAGCATGACATTACACTGAAATGTCACAACATCGACACTGGAGCATGACATCACACTAAAATATCACAACACGGACACTGGAGCATGACATTACACTGAAATGTCACAACATGGACACTGGAGCATGACATTACACTGAAATGTCACAACATGGACATTGGAGCATGACATCACTTTAAAAATGTCACAACATCGACACTTGAGCATGAGATTACACTGAAATGTCGCAACATGGATACTGGATCATGACATTACACTAAAATATCACAACATGGACATTGGAGCATGACATTCACTGAAATGTCAAAATATGGATACTGGAACATGACATCACATTGAAATGGCACAACATTGACACTAGAGCATGACATTACACTGAAATGTCAGAATATGGACACAAGAGCATGACATTACACTGAAATGTCACAACATGGATACTGGAACATGACATCACTTTAAAAATGTCACATCCTGGGCACCTGAGCATGACATTACACTGAAATGTCAGAATATGGATACTGGAACATGACATCACATTGAAATGGTGAAACATGGACACTAGAGCATGACATTACACTGAAATGGCACAACATTGACACTGAAGCATGACATTACACTGAAATGTCAAAATATGGATACTGGAACATGACATCACATTGAAATGGCACAACATTGACACTGAATCATGACATTACACTGAAATGTCAAAATATGGATACTGGAACATGACATCACACTGAAATGGCGAAACATGGACACTAGAGAAGGACATTACACTGAAATGTCAGAATATGGACACTGGAGCATGACATTACACTGAAATGTAACAACATGGATACTGGAACATGAGATCACTTTAAAAATGTCACATCCTGGGCACTTGAGCATGAGATTACACTGAAATGTCACAACATGGATACTGGAACATGACTTCACATTGAAATGTCACAACATCGACACTGGAGTATGACATTACACTGAAATGTCAGAATATGGATACTGGAACATGACATCACATTGAAATGGTACAACATCGACATCGGAGCATGACATTACACTGAAATGTCAGAATATGGATACTGGAACATGACATCACATTGAAATGGTACAACATTGACACTGGAGCATGACATTACACTGAAATGTCACAACATTGACACTGGAGCATGACATTACACTGAAATGTCAGAATATGGACACAAGAGCATGACATTACACTGAAATGTCAGAATATGGACACTGGAGCATGACATTACACTGAAATGTCACAACATGGATACTGGAACATGACATCACTTTAAAAATGTCACATCCTGGGCACTTGAGCATGAGATTACACTGAAATGTCACAACATGGACACTGGAACATGACAATATACTGAAATGTCACAAAATGGATACTGGAACATATGCATGACATCACACTGAAATGTTACAACATGAACAATGGAACATGATATCACATTGAAATGTCATAACATGGACATTGAAGAATGACATCAAAGTCAGCAAGCTAAAAAGAAGATTCATAAATACAAGAGTTATAATGAAAGAGAAACAAGAGGCCAAATTGACCTGTATCATTTGACGTTCACTTGTTATTTATCACATATCTGTGACCTTCAGAGACAGTACAGACAAGAGTGAAGTGTTGCAACTCTATACTTTACAGGTCTTTGTTTGGGAGATTTTATCATATTATTAATAGCACCCTACAACTTGAAGAATCTTTATTGGAAGATTTCAAGTAATATTAATACTTTGACCTCCAAATTTGGTCCAAGTCATTCATATATACAGATCCCAGTACACTTCATGCGTTATAAAGCAATGACTTGCTCTATATCGCTGCAGCTGTTTAAACTGGCCAAACAAAATTGTAAGCCTAAAGGTTATTCAGAAGAATTTATTAAATGGTTTTAACATTTGTCATCCCAGTCTCCCATTGTACTTTTACATATGTACATTATACTGTTTATGTATATTGGCTGTACAATGTAATGTTGAGGGTGACAATGCGTGACAAAAAAAATACGTCAACATCTGATAATTTTACGACATCACAGCATATTACGATGGGTCATTTAGCAGATTCAGGTATGAAAACCTGAGAGGGCTAAAGGTAAACTTTGGGCACTTAACTCGTTGAGATATGAAAAAATGTAATTTCACTCAATGGGATTAGAAATATCAGGCAAGAAAGGAGAAGCTATTAAACAAAATATCTTCTACAGAGCATAATTTCCAAGCATTACTGGCATCAGAACATTGGTAAATGCAATTAATCAGATCCAATTATGTTTCAATAACTGTCATTACAGCTGATCAACTGTCTAACTTGTGGTTAAAAGATAATTCCTTTTTTTTAATTCATAATATTGACCTCTGTGACCTACATCAAAATTTATAGTCAAGGTCATTTATTTGAAAATCTTGATAAGCCCTCAATCCAAGCATGGTATTATCCCTCGAAAGTCATGACACTATTTCTCTTAGTGGTTCGGAAGAAGTAATTTAAAAGTTTAAACTTTGACCCCTATAATTTTGAAAGTAGGTCAAGGTCATTAATTTGAACAAACTTGGTAGCCCTTAATTCAAGCATAATCAGCCAAATAATATGACCAAGGGCTTCTTGGTTATTTGCAGGAAGTCATTCAAAGAGAAAACTTGATGCCAGGTGCTTAATGCTGGACAAAGTATGGACGACAGATGCTGTGCCATGGCTTACGTTCATTGCCCTTTTGTGAACTAAAAATGTACTTACCATTCTTGCCACAATAGCTTCTATTGAAGCCATGTGTATTGATGCTGGCAACTGTTTCAGGAGCGGTGCCATGCCACAGTGTTCTCTCATTTTGGGTTCCTGCAGGGTTTTGTGCATCCATCAATTTTTTCTTGGCAACGTACTGCTGGTAAAGGGTTCTGTTCTGTATTCTCTCAATCTAAACAGACGGAATCCATAGAAAAGTTGAAACTCGTGCACAAATCTGTATTATCTGTTTTACAATAGTTCTATGTAGACATGCTACCCATTCTCTGTATGAAATGCAAACATGGTACAACTATACCATTTACAAGATAAACTAAAGACCAGTGGGGTACTTATGTTAATGCACGAAGATTGAACAATGTAATGACAATGACGTTTTCAGGTTTTCATTCAGGGAAGCAAACTTCTATTTTTAGCAAGATGACCTTGACCTCTGACTGCCTAACCCTTTAATCAACAGGTTTGTTCACAATCACTAGGGCAATCCAATACACCAATATTGGTTATTATTGAAACACAACACAACGAAGAACAAGAGGCCCATGGGCCTTAACGGTCACCTGAGTCCTACAGTATTTATTTTTGTTGTTGAAATATGTACCAATTTAAGTAAAAAATAGTTATAATGTTAACTTAACTTTGTCAGGACCATGAGCTGATCATTCCTAGACCGATTTTAAATAAGATCGGCCTATTATTAATTGTTTTTAAGTTTAGAATAGGTATTTACAAAATAGCGACTGTGGTGGCCATATTGGATTTCTGATTGACCTGAAAAATAACAACACTTTGTCAGGACCATGAGTCGATCATTCCTACCAACTTTCAGTTCAATCGCCCCAGCAGAACTTGACTTTAAGTTTGAAATAGGTTTTCAAAATGGCGGCCGTGGCGGCCATATTGGATTTCTGATCGACCCAAAAAATAACAACACTTTGTCAGGACCATGAGGCGATCATTCCTACCAACTTTCAGTTCAATCGGTCCAGCAGAACTTGACTTTAAGTTTGAAATAGGTTTTCAAAATGGCGGCCGTGGCGGCCATATTGGATTTCTGATCGACCCGAAAAATAACAACACTTTGTCAGGACCATGAGGCGATCATTCCTACCAACTTTCAGTTCAATTGGCCCAGCAGAACTTGACTTTAAGTTTGAAATGTAAAATGTTAACGGACGACGACGGACGAAAACGGATAGCAATAGGTCACTTGAGCTAAAGCTCAGGTGACCTAAAAATCTTATTTTTAGCAACAGTGCCTTGACCTCTGATAGACTTAACCCAAAATCAATTCGTACTTTGCATTTACTAAGGCAGCAGACACATCAAGTTTGCACTTTGTATGATCTATTACTCTCATGTTATCATCTGGACAAGCAGAGTTATATTTTTTAACAATGGCAAAGTTCATGTATGGGGCACCATGCCAACAATCAATAGGGCTCTTTGTAATCACTATGGCAACACGCACACAAAGTTTGAACTTTGTGTGATCATTCTTTCTCAATTGGAGTTAGCATCTGGACAAGCCCAATCAAGCTGAATTCCATTTTTAGGAATGGTGACCTAGACTTCTGGTGGACAACATCCAAAATCAATAGAGTTCTTCACATCCACTATGGCAAATCACACTTCAAGTTTGGACTTTGTGTGATGGATTACTTTTAAGTTATCATCTGGACAAGTACTGCAGACAGAGGGACATCACCCTGTGTGACGGCTATATCCGCTCACAAACAATTTTTTGGGACAACGATTATTCAATTACATCCTTATATTACATAAGTTATCAATTTAAATTCATTGTTTTCAGAGAAATTACCAAAAATTTCAAGGAATGACACTTAATTGTCACTGAAATAGAATGAATATCCTATTCCTGATGACAAAAAATATTAGGTCCATGATTACTACTCTATTTACCTTTATGATGGTTTTCCCGACTCCTGAACTCTGGAAGTTCTGATTTATAGTAGCGTATGTAGGGTCAGAGGCTGGAACCTGAATCACACTGACATTATCCTTATCTGCCATAGGAGACCAATCGCTGGGAGGCTCAAATGATGAATCTAGGAAAGAGAACAGAAAATATAAAACCAATTGAACTTTCCTGTTTTCTTGCAGAACCAATGTTATGTGTTTTTTTTATATTTTCTTTCTTTAATTCTTTAATCAGTCAAAAATGTACTATACACTCATTCTTATACAATTTATTTGCATTTACAATTCCAATCCCATTCATATTCATTATGCCTAAAATTATTCAATTTCATCTAGATAATCTTGTATTGTTTGGTTTGGTTTGTTTGTGTTTTACGTCCTATTATATTAACAGCTATGGTCATTTAAGGATGTGCCAGGTTTTGGTGTTTGGAAGCCTAGAGTTCCCGGAGAAAAACCACAGACCTTCAGCCAGTACCTGGCAACTGCCCCGCGTAGGTCTCTAACCCACGACCCAGTCCTGATTGCGACCCCCTGACAATGACAATGAATGAATATATTAGCTTACCTTCTATTTTACATTTTCTTATCACCTTCACTGTATCTTGGGATTGATCCTCCGGATATTCAATCAAGGAGTTTAAATCTACAACATACTTATTTCCATCATTGTCAGGAAATTTAACTTTGTCTGTTTTATCTCTGTATCCTTTCTCCAGTAACCTGTTGATTTGGTATGGGTAGGGAATCAGTTTTTCGCCATCAGAGGTTACTTCAATGAAATTCCACTGGACCATGTCTACAATTAGTTTCGCCTCTTGTTCTAACTGTTTTGCCTTTTCCGTATCCCTGATCATTCTATGAAGGTAGTCTGCAGCATCAGTGATACATTCCAGCAGACCAAGTAATCTGATTCGGCCCAAGCGAATATCAGCTTTCACTTCAATGTTGAATTTATCTTCCATTGCTACAATTTGTCTTTCCTGTAAGAAAGAATATAACTTAAAGTCATAAAGAACATGTGTAAATATGTTACTATAGTCAAATTTAGCAGTTCAGAAGAAGTTATTAAAACAAGTGGCCCAGAGGGCCTGTATCGCTCACCTGGATACCAAAGCAATCATGGCAAAATATTCTCCGAATAAGATCAAGGGAATATGCCAGACCCCAAGGCCAATCCTTGTAGCATATCTGTATTAGATTCTTCATGCCCAGCAATTTTATGTATGGTTATGGGGTGGGGATCTCAACTGTTTCCAAGCTTTGACTCAGAAACTAGGTCTCTAGGGTTGTGGCCAGACCCCAGGATCAATTCTAATATCGTGACTGCATTTGTCTCTTTTTGCCCAGCATTTGTATATATAGTTTTGGGGTGGGGATCTCAACCATTTCAAAGTTATGACCCAGGGGTTAAGTCTGCAAGGGTGGGGCAGACCCTTGGGTCAATTCTAATATCATGACTGCATTCGTCTGTTTATGTCCAACAATTGTATATATAGTTTTGGGGTGGGGATCTAAACCATTTCGAAGTTATGACCCAGGGGTTAAGTCTCCAAGGGCGGGGCAGTCCCCAAGGCCATCCTGGAAGCATATGTGCAATCATCTCTTTATACTCAGCAATTGTATATACCGTTATAGGGTGGGGCTCTCAACTGTTTCCAAGCTGTGACTAACAAACAAGGTCCCTAGGGGTTCGGTCAGACCCCAGGGTCTATTCTGATATCATGACTGCATTCATCTTTTTATGCCCAGCATTTGTATATATAGTTTTGGAGTGGGGATCTCAACAGTTTTAAAGTTATGGCCCAGGGACTATGTCTCCAAGGGTGGGGCCAGACCCTATAGCCATCCTAGAAGCGAATGTGCATTCTTCTCTTTATTTAATATACTCAGCAATTGTATACCATGGTTATATGGTGGGGATCTCAACCTTTTTCAAGTAATACACTTTTTTTGGCCCCACCCCTTAGCCCCCGGGGGTCAGCCCCACCATTTGTACAATTTTGAATCCCTGCCTCCCATGAATGCTTCCGACCTAATATGATCAATATCCATGGCATTAGTTCTACAGTAGAAGTCGTTTATAGCAATATAGCCAAATTGACCCCTTTTTGGCCTGGCCCTCAGCCCCACCATTTGTATAATTTTGAATCCCCACCATTTAGGGATGCTTCCAGTCAAATATGGTTGATATCCACCTCTTAGTTCCAGAGAAGAAGTCCCTTATAGCAATATTGCAAAATTGACCCCTTTTTGCCCCTCCTCTCAGCCCCCTGGGGATCAGCTCCATCATCTGTACAATTTTGAATCTCTAGACACCTAGGGATGCTTCCAGTTAAATATGGTTGATATCGACTTCTTAGTTCCAGAGAAGAAGTCGCTTAAAGCAATATAGCCAAATTGACTCCTTTTGGCCCCCGCCCCTCAGCCCCCGGGGGTGTCAGCCCAACCATTTGTACAATTTTGAATCCCCACCACCTAGGGATGCTTCCAGGTAAATATGGTTGATATCCATGGCATAGTTCTACAGAAGAAGTCGTTTGTAGCAATATAGCCAAATTGACCCCTTTTTGCCCTGCTTCTCAGCCCCCTGGGGGGTCAGCCCCATCATTTGTACAATTTTGAATCCCCACCACCTAGGGATGCTTCCAGTCAAATATGGTTGATATCCAATCAGTGGTTAAGAAGAAGAAGTTGTTTAAACAAATTGTTGACGGACGGACGGATGGACGACGGACGCAACGGTATGGCATAACCAGGTGAGCTAATAATAATAAAGAAATTGTTGATGGAAAAATGACGAATGATGGACGTTGAAGTAGGGCATAATTAAGCTCACCTTGGTACTTTGTACCAGATGAGCTAAAAGAAGGGATAATGATAGAAACACCAAGGCATAATTATAAGCTGATTAGCTTTTCAGACCGTGTGGGCTGAAACCAAAAGGTCGAATGGGTCAGCTAGCTCCTGTTCTTGAACAGGCAATGTTGGCGAACATATTTGACCTCTGTGATGTCCTTCAATATCAGTAAAGGTGAAATTGATTTAATTAAGGTTTAAGCAAGCATGTTAACACTGCAGGTCAAATTTCATTACTCTTAACATCACAGATCTTTCCTGACAGATTTTAGTTCCAATGACCCTGAAAGTGGGTCAAGGTAAATTATTTCAACAAATTTGATTGTACTTTCATCTGAGCATCCTACAAGCCTCACAACTATATAGACAGAAAGAATTGTATGAAGTTAGTTATAATACTTTTATCCCAGGGCCTCTAGAGTAACTTCTAGAGTATATTTAGTCATAATCATTCATTTGAACAAGCCAGTGACAGTCTATTGCCCCGCCAAGCTACAAAACAATTTCATTTCTCTTGACATTATGGATATTCAGAAAAAGAAGTTTGAAGAAAAATACAAAAACATTTATTTGGAGAACTTCAATCCAGCAAGCTACAGGCAAATACAGTTACTTTAGGCATGATCAATCTCTAAACGAAGGCATTCAATGGTTTAATTATATCTGACCTCTGTGACATTAAAATTATGTGAAGGTTGTTCATTGGAACCAGGTGATGTAAGATAGTTTAACTTTACGTAACTTTATGATCCTTATCACTTTAGTCTCATTAGGGTTCGCACTAAGCACTTTGAGAACAGGTGGACATTCTTGCACCGATATATAAAATCAGCTCCAACAAACATAGTGTTACACTTGCAAAAATATCGTTGTTAGCATCCCGGCATAAACATTTTTTTTTCAGTTTAAACATTTTGTTGCCTCAGGAAATATAGACAGACGGCTGTAAGGGTGGGGCAACATTAAAGGAATACCACCAGGCAAATCATTTAAAATTTCAAAATGTGAAGAAAAAAAATTCCACTTTCTCATTAAAATCTTTTTGTTTTTACTGTGTGATGAGAAATTAAGGTGTTAACCTTGATAATTGAATACAAAGTTTACATTTTCTCTTAAAATTGATTACAATCATGACCTTTGACGTTCAGAATATGTAGCCATTAGCCTTTTATTTTAGTGTATTAGTGAAGAACTGCAGAAAAAAACAATTTCCAATTTATTACTTTGAGATAAAACATTTTTCAAAACAATTAAATCATAATCAAACTTGATTAAGTGGCCTTTTCCCTTGATATCAAATTCCTATAGCCTTCATTCCTCTTTGTATTTGGTAATGAAATAAACTCATTCACCCCTGAAATTTCATAATGAACTATTCCAACCTTTGAATTGGAAGAGTTCAAATGTGTATACAGGGTGAATAAGTTAAAAAGCAAAGACCTACTTGTGCTTTGGTGAAATCTTTTATAATTCCATCCTCAAACTTTTTTTCAATGAAGTTTTTCCCAAGCAAATTCTCCAATGAATCAATGGCATCTGAAATTGTATCCTGGCTTCTTCCATATACTGCAATGGGGTAACTTGACCTGTCGTGTGAAACCGTCCTGATGCTTGGATTCCAAGAAAATCTTGGATTGTTGGCGCTGCCTATCAAAATGGAATTGAGGGTACATTTAGGCAACATAGTGGAATTGTTCATCCACATGCATGTATTTACCAATTGAATCATGGGCTGTGTAATACTGGGGAAATTATTGCTTGTTTCAAATTATGAGCAGCATCCTACCAATTCTACTGAAATGGTATTTTTTCTGCTTTAGTTCCTTCCCTGATTTAACATATAGTACAATATTTTTCAATGAATTATTTTCATTGGAGGCAGAGTAGTCTAGTGGCAGGATGCCGGGCTCGTGACCAAAGGGTTGCGTGTTCGAGTCACGGCACTGTGTTGTATCTTTGAGCATGATACTCAATGTACTCCGCTTGTTCCAGTTTACTCAGTTGTAAATGAGTACATGGTTGGGCAGTACTAGAATTGTTGAATGCTAGCTGAAATGGCAGCTCCGGCTGTATGCTCCCTGAGGGAGTTGAGAAATGTATTGGCTGGTTGCAAAGGCCCTATAACCACGGATAATAATTTGTGAACTGCTCATCATTATAATTATTAATTATTGATTGTGCATATATACCAGTACTTGCTTACATTATAAAAATTCATATATTTGTTAAATTCCCTCTCAGGGAGGATCGTTTGCCAAATATGTGCATCTCAGGAGACAGCTCAAACAAGAGACCCAGAGGGCCTGTATCGCTCAGGGGTTATATTTATATGCAATTGGGCAAAATCTTGTCATTCTAAGTAAAAGGAGGATTTTGAAGCATTTGCTACGTTTCCACTATTGCCCCCGGGGGGGGGGTTGTCAGAAATGGACATAATCCTGTCATTCCTAGATAGAGAACTGATCCAACCCAAACCTAAGATAGAACTATATAAGAAAAGCTTTCAAATGTCTGGTATTCATGTATGGAATGGATTGCCCTTACAAATTTAAAATTCTGACAGTCTAGTCTTTCAAGACAAAATGTTTTAAGCACTTTCTTCACCTCTGATTTCTAGTTATATTATGACCATATTGCTGTATCCTCCATGTTATCTTGAAGTTCCTGTACTAGAAAGATAACAATCTTTGCAATGTTGTCTGTAAATTACTAAGTATTGATAATATAATTACATTGTGTCCATGTACAATTAATTTACTATACATTTTACAGCAAAATGTTTGGCTGTAATTATGCTAGAATTGTATTTCAAATCTATGCAATGTTGCCTTTGATTATATGTATATATTATTGCTGTAGATTGTAGAGAAGGCCTCAAGGGATAGTTTTGTAACTAATTGAGCTACCTACTATAAATAAAGCAATATTATTATTATTATTAAGTCCCCCAAAACAAAGTTTTTGGGACTTATTGTTTTTACTCCGTTTCTTATTAAGTCCCCCAAACATGGTTTGGGGACTTATTGTTTTTATTCCTCTGTGTTCTTCTTCTTCTTCAGCCATGAACTTGTCCAGAGGTTTTCTCAGAAACTATTGAGCGGATCATCATGAAACTTCACAGACATACTCATTAGGGGGTCAAGGTGTGCAACAGGCTATTTTTATCTCAATCGAAAATCCAAGATGGCTGCCAGAACCTTACTTCCGGTTTTGGAGTTTTTGGCTCTGATTTCGTTGAAAATTGGTACATAAGGGTTTTCAAGGCTGCCAAAAACAATGGAAACAGTTTCGAAAAGCTCAGTTGTCATGGTAACGAAATGGAGGCCTCTGATTGGTCGAAAATGGAGGCCTCTGACTGGTCGAAATTTAGCTGTTGTCTGATTCTGCCCAAAATAGGAACATAGGGATTTTCAGGGATTCCGAACACAATGTTAACAGTTTTGAAAAGTTCAGTTGCCATGGTAACGAAATGGAGGCCTCTGATTGGTCGAAATTTAGTTGTTTTCTGATTCTGCCCAAAATTGGTACATAGGGGTTTTCAGGGATATCGAACACAATGGTTACAGTTTCGAACAGCTCAGTTGCCATGGTAACGAAATGGAGGCCTCTGATTGGTCGAAAATGGAGGCCTCTGACTGGTCGAAATTTAGCTGTTGTCTGATTCTGCCCAAAATTGGAACATAGGGATTTTCAGGGATTCCGAACACAATGGTAACAGTTTTGAAAAGTTCAGTTGCCATGGTAACGAAATGGAGGCCTCTGATTGGTCGAAATTTAGTTGTTTTCTGATTCTGCCCAAAATTGGTACATAGGGGTTTTCAGGGATATCGAACACAATGGTTACAGTTTCGAACAGCTCAGTTGCCATGGTAACGAAATGGAGGCCTCTGATTGGTCGAAAATGGAGGCCTCTGACTGGTCGAAATTTAGCTGTTGTCTGATTCTGCCCAAAATTGGAACATAGGGATTTTCAGGGATTCCGAACACAATGGTAACAGTTTTGAAAAGTTCAGTTGCCATGGTAACGAAATGGAGGCCTCTGATTGGTCGAAATTTAGTTGTTTTCTGATTCTGCCCAAAATTGGTACATAGGGGTTTTCAGGGAT